CCTTTACGGAGCACTTTATATATTTAAAACCCTTGTCTTCAAGGAAGGATCACATTGTAAAACTTAATAAAATAAGAAAAAAAATGCTCAATTTTTGACGAATTAATCTTGAGGTATGTGAGTTTAAAACATCAACCCAAATTTTCTTTGCGTATTAAAATTGAAGGTTTTGAAAATCACATTTTTCTCCTTTTATTTTCCTTCAGCAATAAAACACGTTTTCATGAGTTGAAACACAAATTTTTAATAACTTATTTTACAGGGTTTGATGAAAAAATTTTCTGGTTTTTCTCTTTCCATTTTTTTTCTTTCTTATTTTAACTTAAAATAAGAAAAAAATGCTCAATTTTTGCCGAATTAATCTTGAGGTATGTGAGTTTAATACATCAACATAAATTTTCTATGCTTATTAAAATTGAAGGTTTTGAAAATCACATTTTTCTCCTTTTACTTTCCTTCAGCAATAAAACACGTTTTCATGAGTTGAAACACATATTTTTAATAACTTATTTTACAGGGTTTGATAAAAAAAATTTCTGGTTTAAATATTATTTCTCGTCGTTTAGCATTAGATATATGTTTACTTCTTTATTTCATTTTTGACAAGGAATTTTAAAGTATATGTTTAAGGCAGTGAGTATAGCTGAATCTGAGTATATCAGAGTACAGCAAATCAAATAGCTATTTTTTTTGCTTTTTACATTCCAAATATGCGTGAGTTTATTTTCTTGAAATTATTTTATTAAAATTATTTTCAGTAACTGTACCAGACTGAATAGATAAATTAAATTTTAATGTGAAAGGTTTAAAAGACCAGAAAGGAACTGGACAAAACAATGAAACAGCAATTTACAAAAAGACAATCAACAATTTATAATATATATCTTAAAATGTGCAATCTCTGCATAATTATAATTAGACCTGAGACTGTTTAATAGAAGTTCTGCCTTCAAATAAAAGAACGATTTTTCGTGAATAGCATGTCGATTTTTTTAAACTTTTGCTTATTTTTGAAAGTTATTCATAAATGTTATGTTGCGTTTTGACCTCTTTTAACCAACGACAGCTATACTTAGTGTGAAAATGGTTCAAAATGTGAATAGGAAGAAACCTCTGCGTTTAGAATGAAAATTATCGTGATCTAGTTTTCTTTTTACTTCAGAAAAATTATTCCCATGTTTAATTGTGTAGGCTCACAAATCAAAACAAAGTTATTCATTAATTATTTATTGCTGAATAATTCATTGATTTTCGTAACTTCCAACTTAAAAAAGTTTAATAGTTTGTAAAATGTCTGAGTTATATTTCTGTTATAAAGCTCAGATAAAACTCCAGTTTAAAGTATTTAAATTGTGGTTTTTCTGGAACAGCTTTGAAAAATTCCCCTAATTGATTTCAGCTTTATAATCTAAGTTTAGCAAATAATAGAAACATTAAATCCTTTTCATAAAAAGTTTAGTGACTTGTTCCCTTCCATGCCTTGAAGCTATTGGAGCTTTCGAGAAGTTTATCGTTTGACCGTTAATGGTTGTTAATCGTTTAGCGCTTAACTTTACGATTGATTCAATTTATAATTTACAGGTGAACTAACATCTTAAGTATTTTTTTTTGGGATAATAAACTCCAATAACAAGTTAAAATCTTAAAATGCTATTAGCAGTTTTTTCAAATTTGAGAAACATTCTTAGTAAATATGGTTTGATCGTTCTACTTGAAATGCACCAATCAAATTCTCAATTTCTAAATTTATATTTTAAATGAAAAAGTGATATAAAATGATATAGAATGCTCAACGATAGAAATTATTTTGAGGTTAAATGTAAATTTTGTTTTCAAAATATTTGAAATCTATTCAAAATATTTGATATCTATTCGAAATATCTGATATCTATTCAAAATATTTGATATCTTCTCAAAATTGTTTGTTTATAATAAAAAGAGAAATGAAGAATATTTTACTCTTTTCTTAAAATGAAAACCGATCAAATGTTCTCGTTTTTTTTTCTAATGGTTTTGCCATAACAGTTTATAGATGGATCTAAGAGCTTCGTGTCGGGGAACTGACACATTGTTCAGATATCAAATAATTGTCGCACAAAAAATAGTTGTGTAACCTAACAAATTTTCTTTTTTTTTCCTTCCAGTTGCAGTCGTTGAAATGGGTGCAGATTTTTTATGTCCTCATGTAATACATGAATGTAATTACCATTGTTACGGACGTGGACGTTGTGATGGAACTGATTGCGTTTGTTATCATCCCGAAGACTAAAGTAACCAATGTTATGCAATAGTTCTAAATGACACAAAATAATTTGTTTGAAAAAATTTTGCCAAAAATTAAAGCATTTTCCTTTGTTTTTTCCTTCTTATTCTAAATTCCAATTTTCAACATTATTAATTAACAACATATGAAAATATAAGTCCGTTTTTTAAATAGAGTCGATTAAATATCCATGATTACACAAGTTCCGATTTTCAATATCGTATAAAAGTAAAAGACTATTGTTATGATACTTGACTGATTCTAAGATGGCATGAGTTCCAATTTCTATTAATAAATGAAAATGGAAGACAATTTCTCATGGAAAATCAATTGATGCTATAATGGCATAAATTCCACTTTTTAATAATGAATGAAAATGAAGGACAATGCTTATTGGAGAGTTAATTAGAATAATGACATAAATTCAAATTTTTAATTATGAATGAATATATTAAATTTTCGATTGGAGAGTTGATTAACTCTATGATGACGTAAATTTTATTTATATAACATCATTGTAAAACATCAAGAGAGCTCAATAAGCTACTCATCATTCTTCTAAAAGAAGTTTTACAGAGGTTTTGATGTTCGCAATTTTAAATGGCTCGCCTTTTGAATCGCGTACATTTCGATGGCTATCAATTTAGATTATATATCTTTTAAATCAAAAAAAATCCCGAAAGAAGTACTACGAAAACAGTTCCGGTGGTTTGCGAGAGCAGCGTGAAAGGGGTAGTTAATTAATATTAATATATTCCTAATTAAATATTAAAATGTAAAATTTGTACAAAAAATTCATACAAGAATTTTATGATATAATTATGCAACTGATAAAATTATATATTATTCTAGTTATGATATAACAAGAATTATAATCTTTGAAAAGTACTTGTACACTTTTATAAAAATATCTTTTAAGCATCGCATTATCTTTTAATAATTAAAAAAAGGTAAATGAAACTGTATATCATAAAATGTAATGTTTTTATAACAATGATACTTATAAGATAAAATAAGGTGATAATAAAGTAAAGAAAGTCACCACATCCGGATTAGTTTCTTTCATTTTAGGTAGTTTTCAAAAACGAATAAATAGCAGAAAAGAATTGAAAAGTGAAATACACTGGTTATCATAAATTAAGGAAAAATCACAAAAATAGCGATAACTCTTTCAAAAGTAAGCCAAACCGTGCAAAATTTGCATATGTTGTCCACTAAGAGTAGCTGAGTAAAATTGCAATATGCAAATTAGTGGCGCTGCACTCGGCTTACGTCATCTGCCTGGAGCATAAAAGTCCAAGTTTGAGAGAAAGCACACAAATTTTACTGTGATTGCGACATTGAAAATCTGAGATAGCCAATTCGTAATAATGACCTCTAGGCATCATTTGCCTGAAGAACTACGATGGAGAGCCATCGGGAGACTAGAGGCAGGGCAGAGTCAATCAGAAGTGGCCAGATGGCTAAATGTGAGTCCATCTGTGGTTCATAGACTTTGGAGGCAATTTCAAACCACAGATTCGGCATCTAGGAGGTTCAGTCAAGGACGGCCAACTGTTACGACCAGTGCCGATGACCGATATTTGACATTAAGTGCACGCAGGAATAGAACCGCTACTCCGACACATCTTAGATCCTCTCTTGCTGCAGCCACCGGAAGGTTGGTGTCAACGTCAACTGTGCGCAGAAGGCTCCACGAAGGTGGTCTGTATGCGAGACGACCAGCCATTTGCGTGCCGCTCACATCACGCCATAGGAGAGACCGTTTGCAGTGGGCCCGACAACATGTCCACTGGACGTCAGATCAATGGAGGCCTGTTCTCTTTACGGATGAGTCCAGGTTTAGTCTAGAAAGTGACAGTAGACGTTATTTGATATGGAGAGAACCTGGGACCCGTTATCATCCATCAAACATCCGTGAAAGAGATGCATACGGAAGAGGCAGTGTCTGTGTTTGGGGAGGCATATCCTTAGGAGGGCGCACATACCTCCATGTCTTTCCAAGGGGAACCGTGAATGCTCAGGTTTATCGAGACAACATCCTTGATGCTTATGTGCGCCCATATGCCGGGGCAATTGGTGATTGCTTCCTGTTACAGGACGATAATGCAAGACCACACAGAGCTCGCATTGTTGATGATTATCTTCAACAGGAAACAATTACTCGCATGGAGTGGCCAGCTCGATCCCCGGACTTGAATCCTATCGAGCACGTTTGGGATGCTCTAGGGAGGCGTGTATCTGCCATCAATCCGCCCCCTCAGACCCTTGCCACGCTTGCAACTGCTTTACAAGAGCAATGGCTCTCACTTCCTATTGAACTGATAGACCGCATAATTGAAAGCATCACACATCGCTGTTTGTGCTGTATTGCTTCTAGAGGCAATCATATTCCATATTAAAGGTACTTTTTCTATTGCAAACCGATACTTCCAATTTGTTTATTTTATACATGTGCTAATTTCTATACTACTATTAATGTCTGATAATTTCTTTTTATGTTGTTTAATACCTTACTATGTGTTGTATATTGTGGGTAAGTTTCATAAAATTCCATGTGTAATTTCTTGAGTTATCGCGATTTTTGTGAATTTTCCTTAATTTATGATAACCAGTGTAGAAAAACAGAAAACAGCAAGTTAAAACAATCATTAATAAATAACTCATGGGCACAAAAAGGTTGTAAAGATACATATATTTTTTGTTTATTGTGGATAATAAAATTTTTTTTCTCCAGAAAGTCAGCCAGATAAGTCTGCTTTTATATCACAGAGGCACAAATATGTGATTAATGCTGTCCTTGAAAAGTGAGCATATGTGATACAAATGTTTTATGTAAGAAAAAAGTAAACTTCAAAATCTAGCGAAGGAATGAATGATAAAGATTAATATTTTCAGGTAATTTCATTTGATATTTCTGTTTCAATTAGAAATAGCACTTAACTTTATTGCAAGTGTGCATTTCAACAGCTAGTTTTAATCCGACTGGTAAGTACTCTTTCTTTAGTTTTTATATTTTTATTTAAAAGTTTATCTTTAAAAGTATTTAAAATTTTCCTATTTATTCAAAATTTTATTTTCGAACATACTCTTAAACGAATACTTATGTAAATAGATTTTAAGCTCTAAAAATAACACAAACAATATGTTGGTTTAAAATAACGGGATTGAGGATGATAGTCTAATTTTTCTATAGCATATGTGCATCAGTTCACAACTGGATGAAATAAAATTTTATTTTGTTAAAAATAAGGATATGTTTAATAGCTTCTCATTCAATTAAATTTTTAGTAAATATAACTAAATGAAAACTTTCACTGTGCATAAATTGTTATTTGAAAACTCTTTTCTTGTATATGAAAATACATTTTATGCACGTTCCCATTAATGCTGAAAAGTACAGAGTAATGCAAACACTCACAATGATATTAAAGTGTACATTTTCAAGTTTAGAATGAACTTAATAACTATGTTTTAGATTTGAATGCAATTGTAAAACAGTATTTTGTCAAATATAAAAGGAAAATTTCGAGATGAACACATTTCTTTTTTATTGTTTCGGATATGTTGTAAATATACCAATTTTAAAAATCATTAATTTTAATTTCTTGAAATTTGAGTATGAAAAGTTGCTGTTATCAACAGACAATGAAAAATTTGGTCGTATTTGGTTAACAAAAAAAAACTATTCATCACGTGACTCTCAACTGAGTTAAGACATAAAACAGTTAAGCCATTCAAAAGAAAAATCTATCAAATTTTCGTTAAATCAGAATTTCATATATCTTACGGCTTTTTTTAAAACAAAAAACAGCATGATTTCTGTACAAAAAGTATTTAAAATTTATAAAACATTTAAAAAAATTTATAAAACATACTGTTCTGACGAATTAATGCTATTCTTTTAAAATTGAAATGTGCATTTTTTTAATTAGGTGTCATTTTGCTAGTATTTGATATTTTAGAAATCAGGGGAAATTGTCCCAGTATTTTTTTACTATATTAAAATAGAAATAATGACTTATTGTTTGGTTTTATTGAAAAAAATATTATTTAAGATTCTTATTTACAATAATTTAAAAGTTGGTAATAGTTGTTTCAAAATATTTTATTCCGGATTTCAATGAAAACGAGCAAAAAAGCCATTAGTTTATTACAAAATCTCGTAATTTTTACGTTAATTTTTACTCTTATTATGCTTGATTCTTAAATTGTTATTAAAATAATCATTTATTTATTTTAATTACATTTTACAATAGAACTTCAATCTCTAAAAAATGAAATTGTCAACTGCTCTTATTCTGATGACTCTCTTCATTGTTGTTTCAGGTAAGTTGAAACGTTATCTTAAACTTAAATAATAGCTCATAAGCTCATTTGAGAAAATACAAATCCCCAATTGTGATGCCAAGTTGAAGCTGAAAGTGGTTATGCGGAGATTTGGGGGTGTTATATTTTTTATTACAAATTAGGTTCGCTTACAGAGGTGACCATTTATATGAATTATTCTGACTGATTGCTTTTCATTCAATCTCTTCAATAGTGAGTTTGCTGCTGATACCACTTTATTCGAGATAACAATAGCTCTCATCGGCTCAGATGAATTGGTGATTGGTTTTATTGATACTCATACACCTCATTCTTACGATTTGTCGGGAAAAAAAATCATCGGATCTTAACCCAGTGCAAACTCTAAGAGACACGTTGGAACATGCTGAAACGCCAAGATCTGAGTCCCGTAATTCAGAGGAGTTTCGAAACAAAATCCCCAGTGTCTTATTAACGTTTTTGAATGACGTGGATGTGACGTCCCTGAAAAACCTTGCGGACTCATTTCTTTGCTGCTATTATGTTCAGACGCGAAGTTACACGATATTTAATGACGACTTTTGTGATTTTTTATGTTTTCTGTTGATACCACTTTTTTTCAAGATAGCAATAGCTAAGCTCATCGGCTTAGAAGAATTGGCGATTGCTTTTATTAATATTCATTCACCGCATTATCTTACGATTTGAGAGAAAAATCATCGGACCTTAACCCTGAGGAAACTCTAAGAGACATGTTGGAATACGCCAAAGCGCCAGAATCTGAGTTCCCGCAATTCAGAGGATTTGTGAAACAAAATCCTCATTGAGTGTCTTTTTAAACTGGATATGACGTTCCAGAAGAACCTTACGGACTCACATCTTTTCTAAATGAGCTGTTATTAAGTTCTTACTCGAAGTTACGCAACATTAAAATGACGATTTTTGTGATTTCTTATGAGGGGACTAATTTTTTGTCCCGATAACGTGTATTGAATTGTTATCTTACTTATAGAATATAATTAGTGCTACATTTATTGTTTATGATAATTATTTGAATGGCACATGAGAAAAAAAATTTAATTTTTCCAGAAATTATTGTTTTTAAGTATTTATTTGCATGAAAATAATAAGAAGAAGTATATAAACATTCTGAAGAGAAAAAAAATTTTGTTAAAATTTCAAATGGCAACAAAAAACCTTGATTTTGGTTAATAAAACCATAATATGTAGTTTCTGTACATATGGTAACCGTTTACGAGGTATTTTGATTTTATAACTATATTTCGTGTTACGACATGTTTAGTAAAAAGTACAAAACTGAAAAGTAAATTTACCCAATGAAATAAATTTCACATGTTCTAAGGTATCATGATAAAATTACAAAATTTTATCACGTCTAATAAAAACCTATTTTATTGTTAACTTTAACGTTCTTTGGGCAAATTACCGAGCAAAAAATAAAAATTACCGAGAGGAGTCGTAAAACTTTCACACCTTTAAAATAACGTTATCAGAAATACCTTCAAGTTTTCACCATAATTAAACCTGTTTTGAACCTAATCGACTGCCTTGGCTGTAATTTCTCAGATTTCGATAGAGTTTCACTTTATTTCATTTATTTTTTATTGCCTTAATATAAATTTGGGATCTTAAATGAGCATGCTTTATCGCTTATATTTTTGAAATAAATTCTAAAATAACACACTAAGGGTGGCCTTTACGAAGCCCTTTATATGTTTAAATCCTAGCTTAAAAGGAAGGATCGCATTATAAAACTTAAATTAAGAAAAAAGATGCTATCAAATTTCGATGAATTAAACTTGAGGTATGTGAGTTTGAAACATCAAAAGAAATTTTCTATGCGTATTATAATTGAAGGTTTTGAAAACTACATTTTTCTCCTTTTGCTTTTCTTCGGCAATCAAACAGGTTTTCATGCGTGGAAAAACATATTTTTAATAAATTATTTTACGAGGTTTGATAAATTTTTTTCTCTAGTTTAAATATTAATTCTCGTCTTCTAACATTAGATATATGCATATTTTTCTATTTCATTTCTGACAAGGAATTTTAAAGTATATATTGAAGGGGTTGAGTACTTAAAACTCTAATCAAATAGCTAATTCTTTTGATTTTTGATTCCATATACGTGTATTTTTATTTTCTTAAAATCATTTTCAGTAACTGAACCAAAATGAATAGATAAATTGAAATTTAATGTGAAATGTTTAAAAAACCACAAAAGAGCTGGGATAGTCCATGAAGCAGCAATTAAAGAAAGGCAATCAATAATTTATAATTCATATCTTAAACTGTGCAATCAATGCATATTTTTAATTGGACTTGAGTCTGTTTAGTAAAGGTTCTGCTGTCAAATAAAAGAACGATTTTCTGTGAATAGCATGCCGATTTTTTTAAACTGTTGTGTGTCTTTGAAATTTATTCATAAATGTAATTTTACATTTTAACCTCTTTTAATCTACACAGCTATACTTAACATAAAAATGGTTCAAAATGTGAATAGGAAAAAATTTATCCGTTTAGATTGAAAATTGTTTGTGATCTAGTTTTCTTTTAACATGTGAAAATTAATTCCTACATTTCATTGTGTAGGCTTGCAAACCAAAACAAAATTATTCATTAATTATTCATTGCAGAATAATTCATTCATTTTCAAAACTTTCAACTTAATAAAGTTTAAGAGTTTTTAAAACATCTGAGTTATATTTCTGTTATAAAGCTCAGATAAAACTTTATAGGAAAAAAAAATGGTACATGTTGTTTTAAGCTTTTAACTTTGCTTCTAGTTTAAGATACTTAAATTGTATGTTTTTGTTGTCTTTTTTCAGGAAAAAGCTTTGAAAAATTTCCCTTATTGATTTCTGTTTTATAATCTCAGTTTAGCAAAAAATGAACACATTAAATTCTGTTCATGAAAAGTTTATTGATTAGGTTCCCTCCACGACTTGAAGCTATTGGAGCCCGCTCCAAATTTCTTCAAATTTCGAGAAGTTTATCGTTTGACCGTTAATGGTTGTTAATCGTTTAGCGCTTAATTTTACGATTGATTCAATTTAAAATTTACAGATGAACTAACATCTTAAATATTTCTTTTAGAAAAAAACTTCAATAAAAAGTTAAAATCTTAAAATGTTATTCACAATTTTTTTCAAATTTAAGAAACATTCCTTGTGAATGTGTTTTGATTGTTCTACTTGAAACGCACCAATCAAATTCTCAATTTCTAAATTTATATTTAAAATGAAAAAGTGATATAAAATGATATAGAATGCTCAACGATAGAAATTATTTTACGTTGAAATGAAAATTTTGTTTTCAAAATATTTTAATTCTAGACAAAGTTGTTTGTTAATAATAAAAGTAGAAGAGAAGAATATCGTACTCATCTCTTTCTTTTCGAACGATTATGCCAGAACAGTTTATAGCTGGCTTCAAGAGCTTCGTGTCGGGGAACTGATACATTATTTAGATATCCAATAATTGTCGCACAAAAAATAGTTGTCATCAAATTTTCTTTAATTTTTTCTTCCAGTTGCAGTCGTTGAGGTAGTTGCAGATCTTGGTTGTCCTCACGAAATACACGATTGTGATTACCATTGTTCTGGACATGGACGTTGCGATGGAAATGATTGCGTTTGTTATCATCCCGAAGAGTAAAGTGACTAATTTAAGGCAATAGTTCTGAATGACACAAAATAATTTCTTTGAAAAAATTTTGCCAAAAATTATTGTCCTCTTCTTTTTATTATGAATTCCAATTCTTAACATTGTTAATTAACAACATTTTTAAATATAAGTTTGTTTTTTCCAATAGAGTTGATTAAATATTCATGATTGCATAAGTTTCTATTATCAATAACACATGAAAATAAAGCATGATTGTTAAAGAGAATTGACTTATTCTAAGATGGTATGAGTTCCAATTCTTAATAATAAATGAAAATGGGAGACAATTTCTAATGGAAAATCAATCGATTCTATAATGGCACAAATTCCACTTTTTAATAATGAATGGAAATGAAACAATTGACTGAATAATGACAGAAATTCAAATGTTTAATTATGAATGAGCATATGACATTTTCTAATGGAGAGTTGATTGATTATATGATGGCATAAATTTTATTTTTATAACTTATGAAAATAAAATATCAAGAGAGTTGAAAAAACTACTCATCATTTTTCTAAAAGAGATTTTACAGAGGTTTTGATAATATGAATATTTTACTACACACTACAATGAAAATTCTCTATACTAATGAACTAGCATATTTAAGGTAAGGACCTCAAACCATTAAGATTTAGTCGCGGTATGAGAAAATCCGATCAGTATATCAAATCAAAAGTTATACAGGTTTGTTCCGCTTTCTTCACGCATTGTCCATTGCTAAATTGCGGGTAGATATTCGCATGATTTTTTGGCAACACTTAAGTCATTTGAAACTGATTCATTGTTAAAAGGAAGCTACAAACTTTGTTGGAAAACACCAATGTATGTCGAGAAATTTTTATAGAAAGTTTAGAAACGGAACTTGTTATTCAAAAACGAGTTAAGTTCAAAGTATGTATATGGTTAACGTAAGAGCAGACACTTTTTATTAATTGTCGTAATGCGTAATTCATCTCATGTTGGTTTTATGTTAAACTTAACGCCAATTTGCTTGAAAATATCATATATGTTTTATAACATTTGTAGGAAATTTAAAAAAACAGAACTTTTTTATAATGCAAAGCATGCATAGATTCAGAATAACATAAAAATGCATTTTTGCGAAATTTTTATAATTTATTGCAAGATTCGGCTTCATATTAAACAATGAGTGTCAATTTGTTTCAAAACACCTACATATATATCAAAATACATTTGTAGAAATTTTTTTAAATAACTTGCTTAGTCCAAAATACTGAAAGATTACAGTTTGTATATCGCTTACATAACGGTGGGGATAGCTTCAATTCCTTTGAAAATGTTTGTATGAGTCAAAAATATTTTTTGAAATTTTTGAAAAATAATTTGTTTAAAATTGGTTTCGTGACTGGAGAAAAAAAACCATTTAAAATTGCCGTATTGTATGGTAAAGACATTTCTGAAATTAAAAAGCAAAAACATAATTCTAGTTGATAAAAACCGAAATTTACGGTATTTAAAACTTTCATTTGTTATTTTTCTGTTCATATGGAGACGTTTTACCGGTAATTCTGGTTTATACTCATTATTATTTACATTGATTTAGTAAAAAATATAAAACTGAAAATTAAATTAAACTAAATCAGTGGTTCTTATACCATGCTCTAAGATGTCATTAGGAAATTACCAAACTTAACTTGATTTACCAAATTTTATTACATGGTATAAAATCCTGTTTTATTGTTAATTCTTCCAAAATTTCTACCAAATCAGTTCGGTAAAAATTTTTAGAGCTTTTTGGTGCTTCATAAAGTCAGAAGAACGGTAAGTATTACCACATTCAGGTAGTTTCGATCTTACCTTTTTTTTCTTAGTGTAAAAAAAGAACGTCAATTTGTTTCAAAACACCATGCATATCAATTTTTTTTTGTATTCGTCGTTGAACAGCCGACCCAATATTCGAGCTTACGACTACTAATGTTCAACTTCGTAGTCTTGTAATCAAAATATATCGCTATCAGACTCGAAAATGAAAATATATGGCTATCAGACGGGTAAACAATTAAATAATTTTCTATAATTCTTTACAATGCGTAATTCATCTAAAATTGGTTTTATATTAAAAAGTGAATAAAAATTTAATTTGAACCACTCAAATGTAGTGAAAAAATGTTTTTAGAAAATTTAAAAATAATTAACTTGTTTATGTTCAAAATACATGATACGCTAAAATTAAAGTAGACATTTTTCGATTTTGTAAAACTTGTTTAAAAACTTGTTTGAATTTGTTTAGTCCAAAACACACTAAGGTCGGATAATGGATAACTCTCACAAAATGGTGAATACTTTTTTAGATTTTTTTAAAAATATTTTTGCAATGATTGCGAAGTGATGTCTAATAATTATCCGAAAGACATTCTGAGAAATATACTTCATTATTTCTAGAATTTTTATGTATAATTTTAATTTTTAGGAAATAGAACACGGTACATAATATTTTAAATTGGAATAAACTGTTCATTTGTGTCAGAATTTCTGTGTGTTGATTTTTCTCCGTTTTTGTTTAGTCTGGACAGCTTTATGATAAATTTATGGTTAATTCTATCACTTAATTTTGATTGATGGTTTTGTCTTCCATTTTCATGCTGTTTATGATGGTTATGGAGTATAAATAGATTGTGCTTTCATTTATTTAGTTAACAGAAAAATAGTTCAATAAATTACGAATGTAAACAAAATTATGCGAAAATTACTTTAATTTTCTAAGTTTAATCAAATAAATCAATGACAGTCTATCCACACAACCCATCATTTGACTGCAGTTTTAATCTCATTTCGAAGAGATCAATCGGATTGCTATAAGTATTTTTACTTTAACTGACAGAGTTGCGACTCTTTAATATTCATAAAAAATGCTTCTTTTAAAGCACTTTTGTATAGTCTTAACATTCGCAAAGAAATTGAAGTGTTAAAGAGAATACTTCCCAAAAATGCATAAAAAATATTCTGAAGTGTAATATTTTAAACGTAACATTTCAGAAATAGTTTGGAAGCTCATCCAAATAGTTAGACACTTTTAGATAATAATTGTTTCCTTCTAAAATATATTTTATTATATTATTAAAATATTTATTATAATACTTATTTATTACAATATTTTTTTACTATAATATTTCTTTATTATAACAATTTTTTATTTTAATAATTTTTATAGTAATATTTTTTTATTATAATAGTTATAATTATAGGCTATTCATTGAGGAGAAAGAAAAATTTTATTTCCCTGAGTGTTGTCTTTTAAGTACATATTTCCTTAATGAGTAAAAATTTACCTCCGAAGACGAGATTAACAAAAACAAAACATAANAATATTTTTTTTATTATAATATTTCTTCATTATAACAATTTTTTATTTTAATAATTTTTGTAGTAATATTTTTTTATTATAATATTTATAATTATAGGCTATTCATTGAGGAGAAAGAAAAATTTTATTTCCCTGAGTGTTGTCTTTTACATACACATTTCCTTAAAGAGTAAAAATTTACCTCTGAAGACAAGATTAACAAAAACAGAACATAAACTGCGATTAAAAAAACATTAACTAAAGATAGACTGCATTAGATAGATACAGATAAAACCGGCATAAAGATAAAGCCTATATAAAGATAAATGTTACATAAAGATTATTTTTGAATGAAGATAAAGGTTAAATAAAGATGAAGGTTAAATAAAGATAATTGTTGAATAAAGATAAAGGTTATATAAAGATAAAGTCAGTAAACTCGCTTTTATTTTCGGATTATTTGAAGAATCTAGGAAGATAGGATAAGCTTATTTTCTTACCCAAATTACTAATTCGGAAATTGTGAGTTAAATCATATGAAATATTACCTCAGAAATGTGTAAAATAAACATAAACCCCATGTACAGATAAAGCTCGTTTTAATTTTTGGACATTTTAACGTATCGTTAATTGTAGTCTTGTAATTGAAAATCAATTTCATCGTAGTAATTTTTAAAATCAGCTTCGTCTCAGCTCGTATGCCACCAAATATGCCTTCCTTATATGCACTGAATAAATATCACATAAAGACATTTACATAAATCTATCATCAGGAAAATTAAATGATTTGTAATAAATGATTTTACTTTAAATAGTTTTATAATATTTAATTTATTATCTATTTCGGTTTTACTAGTTTGAATTTACATTAATATTCCATTTGTACTGTGCGTATGCTTGAATAACAAATAGTTTTATTTTACGAAATATTGAAAAGATGCATCCTAAGTTAATGATTCTCTCTCTGTATTGCATCGTAAAAATCACTTTACAGATTTTTAACGTGTCAGAGTTATTTTACACTATTTGGTGTAAAGTTTCCAATTTAATAACATTAAATGAATATGATAGTTCAATAACACTGATCAATAACAGTAATTATAGTAATATATGAAACATATTAGAGTCGGTAAAGTTATTTTTACGATATAATATAAAGTAAAAATCATTAATTTAAGATGCAAATGCACGGTATTTCTTAAAATTAATTTATTAATTTAGCATTCACACAGCACAGAGAGAATATTAACATGAATTCGATTTTAATTTAACAGAAACAAAGGAAATATAAGTTAAATATTATAATACAATTGAGAGAATTATGTAAATTTTCGTATGAGAATATAACTATCTTTACTATAAAAACATACGTTTATTTTATAACTTTTACTTCTGTTTTTTCTAAATGTTCAGCATCACGTGAGGTAAAATTGTAAATAATCACGTACGCCAAAATTGGCGAAAATAATTCATGAATGGAGAAAATGCATCTAATCTCGGTATAAGCTTTTTTCTTTAGTGGAATTTAATAGTATTAAGCTGAGTTTTAAAGTTAATAAGTAATAAGTTTCTAAATAATAAGTTTAAAGTAATAAGTTTTTAAAGATGAATTTCATGATTCACCTTCAGAAACTTCTCAGTTTTAAAAGTTCTTAAAATGAATTTCAAGAAAAATAATGAAAAACATTTAAACTGATAAAATTTACATACCACGGAACTTAATTATGTGTTTCGGTTTTGAAAAAAAATACTTTGTTTTTTCCGGAAAAAAAATTATATCTCGAAACAAAAACGAATGTCTTGCATATCAAGTTTTTTTATTTTCAGATTTTCATGTACAAGTAGTAATAGTTTTTGAATTATTTTTAATACCATTCATTAATAATCTGTATTATAGCTTTTTCTGAAATCCTCGATTTGCAACATCCAGAGGTAAGTGATGCGTTGCCCCCATACTGGTACTGAATCAATGGGGGACATCACTTTTTATCATAACGGCAAATGCAGTGGTGTTTATAGCATTCTCCATGTCCATGACAATGATGATAACATTCGTGATCACGATGAGGGCATCCGTGATCCGCCTCCACTTCAATGACGGCAACTGGAAGAAGTTTTTATACAAATAATTTAATAAGAGCTTGAATTTTTTTCAAAGAATTAAATAAAAATTAATTAGAAAATTATAAATTATGTTTGATAAATGATAGCTCAAATTTATTACATCCTTTTCAAGAATCTCAAATAAATCAGTTTAATGTTAAACTTAATATCGCTACATTCATAAAATACGGTGCAGATTTTTTCCAGCCTTAATAAAATCTAAAATCACACCATTTTTTCGTTCAAATTGAACCACAATAGTGAAATTAAGAATTAGAAAATATTATTTAATTGCGTATTATGTTAGCAGCGAATTCAAGAGATCTTATAGTTTAACATGCTCTGAACTTTTCAACAATATAGCATTGAAATTTTAATATTTCATCATTGACGTAAAAGAATTTAAATTACTTATTTGGTATAAATTTTTAGCTAGATTTAGTTTATTTATAAAGTCGTCAAAGGTTCTCCAGTTTCGGAAGAACAGATTTAAGAATTAACTTGACTAGTGAAGTTAACTAGTGAAGTTATCACTAGTAAAGTTAATTCTTAAATCAATTCTTTTGAAACCGGAGAATCTTTAATGATTTTATATAAAATGAACTTAGCTAGAAATTTATACCAAATAAGTAATTTAAATTCTTCGTTACGATTATTTTTGTATGTATACCTTTTGGATAATGCGTTTAGTTTACCAGAAGCGTGATATTCTGAATTATTTATTCCCGAAGAAACATTTTTCGAAAGGTACCTTACTGTAAGGTAATGACATTTCTGAGGATTTTTGATTATAAAATGCCAGATATACAGTATTAAACGTATCATTTAAACTATTTATTTGGTATATCTCCGTTCATATGGTAACAGTCTACCGGAAATTGTGGTTTTTAAAATTATTGTTCTTGTGTTTCCATAAGGCCAGGAAAGAACACGGACATTTTTTTTCTAGGTGCTGTTTTAACTTTAAGCAAAAGCTAAGGTTAAGCGTTGATGTTGAAAACTATTAAATTATTTTTTATTATAGTTTAAAAACAGGCATAATTGAGTATAAAAAACTTTACAAACATTAATTATATAAGTTGTCCTGCACTTAATGCTGTATCTTTTTGGTAGAAATATTGGTAGGCTAGACACAAATGAGATATATTGGACTTTACTGTAGACTAATTTTTTTTAATTGTTCACTATTATTTTGCAAAGGTATTTTTTTTCTTTGTTTTGTCTGAAATTGTTTTTGTAACCTGACAATAGAAATAAATGATGCAAGACATTTTCAATTGTTATACTTCCTTATTTTCTTTATTTCTTACGATCCTATTCTCTGAACATTAAAATTTCTGAAAAATGTTTTAGTAAATTTTATTACTTTTTCTTGTTATTTATTCTGTTTTGATCATATGAAAGAAAAATATAAATAGTCAGTGTTTTTAATTAATAAAAATGCCAATAGAAAGTTCATACGAGTATGACATTAAAACATTTTTATGTTAGCGCTTTCAGTGACAGTGAGAAAGATGTATAGATAGCCATCCAAACAAGTTAAATGCTTAAGATCAAATTTTATAATTTTTAAGGTAGAATTACTTAATTTAAAACAAACCTCTCATGTACTGATTTCTCAAAACTGAATACACATAATTTACTTACATCATCGCTTGGCATGGGTAGAATATCAAAATAAACAAATGAAAAGATAAGTGAATATATATAGGATTAAATTAATGAATAACTAAATTAATGAAATAAAACAAATTTACTACTGGATTCACGTATTATTTTCACGTAATATGACGGAAAACAGAGCGAAAATAAGCATACTATTTTTTTCTTCAAAATAATTGGATTCTCGAGCCTCTGAGTATGAAGCGTACTGATAATGCAGATATTATGGACCTAATAGTTAAGGCAGGAGAATGTGCAAATATTTAGACCTCTTCATGTTAATTTTACTTTTTGTTTATTTCTCCTTCTTAAGGAAATTGCATTGTTTCAAAAATTATTCTACCTATTCCTTACAAATTTTGAACTTGAACCTATATTATTTTACTTATATAAAGTGGAACTTAAAATTTTTTGGCCATTACTAATATAAATAATAAAAAAATACTTTTTCATATTAAATTTTCCTCCGATGAAAATATTTTATTATTGCTAGCAAAAATATTTTCATTCGCTTCCTCAGTTCCAAAAATACAGTGAAATGCGCAAAAAGGTGTAATTAATATTAAGGGGTCCAAACTTTTGACCACACGATTACCTAAAACGTTGGAATATATTTTCCACATTGCAGCCACATTTCTACATTCAGTATTTAAAAACTCAAAACTGTGTAAAATAGTGCATGTATGATTAGAAAAAGTACGTTTTTGTGCCTGATTCCGTAACTTAAAATATCATCGGTACAAATATTTTATCCGGTTAGGTCTTCCAACAATTAGGTTCTTTTACGCAAAATTCCTTTAATTAAATCAAGGGTTATTAGTGTATTATCTTTTTTAGAGTACTGTACATCAAACTTAAAAATTATATAAAAAAGAATTGTATTTGAACAATAATAAACTAATAGAAAGATTTTTCAGAATCTTGAAAAAAAATCCTCTGCTAAGTCATGCCTTTAAGAAAATAACTCTTGAAAAATTCTTTAAAAAGAGCCAATTGTGATAACAAAATAACATTTCAGTTTACCTGAAGCAACAACTATGAGAGTCATCAAAAATAGAGCAGTTGATAGTTTCATTTTTATTTGTACAAGAAAACTCTTAGAACTCCTCTTAACTATAAACGAAAATGAAATGTTTAATTAGAATCTGAGAATATTAAAATAATAATGGATTTATTAGTTAAAATAAGAAAAACATTATTGTAGTTGAGAATTTAATAATTTAAAAATATTATTTTCATTTTTGAGATATAACTAAGTATCAAAGAATGTTTCATGAGAATTGAGCTTTTCCGTGTGCTTTTTTAAGCATAATATTTTTGGCAGAAGGGGTGGTTCGTAGAAGTAGTATAAGGAATAATTGAATAAGTTATTGCTACAAGTAGTAATTGGAGGGGACAATAATTGGAGATTACAAAGGGTGTCGTAGGTAATACCATTTACGATATTCCTAGTATGATTAACTGACGCTGCAAATATCTTTTCCATGTTTTTCGAATAGAGTGAACTGGTTTGTTAGGAGGGATCCGATTTTTTTAATTTTGCATTTCTTGTAAGAACGGAAGTAATTAAACAAGTAATAGTTGGAGGGTACAATGTCTGATGATTATAGAGAGTGTGTTAGCATATACCATTTAAGTTTAATTGCCTGGCACTATAAATATTTTTCTGTGATTATTGATTGGGATGAACAAAGATTATCTTGAAGAGCTATGTTTATGAGTAATTCATAAACTGATCTCTTGTAGTTTCTTACTTGTACTCACAATTATTTAAAGCCTTTAATTTAAACTAAATAATAAAAAAAGTGTTTTTAAACAAAAATGTAATTTTTTTGTCAAAAATATATTTTTGATCATAAGAAACATTTCTTATGAATTTTTGAACATTGCAAAAAAAAGGAAAAAAAATATTAAACAAAAATGTTAACTTATATTTGCTGAATGCGACAGATTTACAAAATATAATGCTATTTTACAGATCTGAAGGAATTATTTTATATTTTTTAAAAATATGCTGCGAAAGGAAACTAATGAACGTTTACTTACTTCTATATACAATACTATTATTTTCCTTAGATAGCTATATACCAGAGGATATTGTTTATGTTCATGTCTGGCAGAAATTAAAAGTTTTATTCAGTTTTAAATAACATTTATAGGGAAAATTAGCATATGATATTTAATTGGACTAAAATTAATGTTTTACAAAAATAAACACCTTACTTAAGGAAAAAAGCATTTCTGGTGCTCGAAATAAATCGTAAGGCAATTCTGAGCACAATTTTACTATATACTTAAATCATTATAGCACTAGTACATTTTTTATAATATTGTAAAAATCTCCATTTTGTATTATTATTAAAATTCTGCTTTCTTTCTTTCTTTTTCTTTTGAGGAAAGAAGGAAACTATTGCTTATGTTTGGTCTGCTCACCAAAATTCGTGAACACTTCCCATTCACTTTTTTTTCCAGGTCGACATATTTGTCGGAATTTTTTTCCCCCCAAAACAGCAAAAATTGTTTTATTAATAATATATAGTTGCAGTACACGAAAACAAACTAAACTTAGGAACACAAAATGAGTGACACAATAAGAAGGAAAAAAGGAGAAAAATAGCTTACTCCATATATCTATAAATTTATTTAATTATATCAATTCAAAAAGGAAGTGGCTTTATTCTCACTTGAACTCTTTAATAACCTTATATTTTGAATTTGTCAATAACTCTTCTTAATTTTTAAAAAATTCTATAAATATGCTAAGTTGTAATATATGACCACATCTAATCTCTTCCATTATCTTTTTATTACTTCTACACAGACACGAGCACGAGCATATAAAATAAAGATCTCGGGGCAGATAAATAAAATTTTCTAGAAAAATGGATTAATAGTTGTCATTTAAAGCGAAGTAAGTGAGAGGAAAATGGTGAAAAAATAACCATATAATTTGCAATAACTTAAAAGAATGGATATTTTTTAAAAATAAATTGTTTTTAGTTCATAAATAAAAAAAATTTTTAGCACGTCAAATGGACTTTTAGTTACTTTTTTACGGGCTGTCCGCAGGATATTTTCCTCTAAAAGTTTAATAGTTAATAATTTCCGATTTAATAATCGGAAATTATTTTTTTTTATTCCATGTTACACCGTATATTATTTTACTGCATAGCTTCTTAATTCTAAGTTTCGTATCCTTATAGTTTTTGTCAAACAAACCAAAATGTGACATATACAACACTTAAAACAGGGGTGGAGGCCTTTGCGATTTTTTTTATTTCAGAGAAAAATAAGTTTCTCACTCAGAAATATGTTATAATATTGTAAAAAGTAAAACAAATTGAACCTAAAATAGGATTATACTAGTGAAAATATTTCATTAAAAAATATAGAAAGAAAAAAACAATACTTTACCTAAAGATTAACAATTGAAGGAATGTATGCGTATGGGAATTAGCGGTGCTTTTTTATAATCAGAGCAAATTTGCTTTTCGTGGAAATTTTACTAAATATAAACTACTGACCTATATTTTATGATCTGTACACATTTTTTAAATTGTTATAGCTCATTAATTTATACTAGACAAAAAAATTGTGTCACAAATTATTCGAACATGAATTAGACAATAAACTTGAAGTATTCAATTGTCATGATTTTCTGGAAATCCAAGAAAAAAGTATTTTATTCGTCTCTACTTTTATACTTTTTCCTAGAATGAAACTATTATTTTGATTTGTGTCTGTATAATTCGCAAAATCAATGAGATAATTTTAACTGAAACTATATAGTATTAGTTTTAGTAAAGTATTATAGAATATAGTACATTATATAATACTATTTTCAAAGTATATTATTAATATATTATAGAATATATATATATATATATACCGAAGGACCATTACATTATGACCACCCTGCTAATAACATGTAGGACCACCTTTAGCCCTCAAAACTGCTAGCATCCGCCGTGGCATTGATCCCACAAGGTGCGGATAGGTAGTCTGAGGTATCTGGTAC